TGGTAGGAAAATAGATTTTTCCAATTTATTTTAATGAAGACTTGAAAAAAGTCTCATTTTGAAACAAGTCTCTACCATTCTCAAATTTCAGTTTGGAGGTTAACCAATAGATAAGAATTCTGGAAATAGTGTATCAGAATAAAATGAGATTTTTTGATCTATTTGAGGATCATCTTGAAAATAGATTTTTGACTCATTCAGAGGACCTAATATTTAACTTAAAGCAAAATAATTTTATACTTATACAGGTGACGTGGTGAAATGGCACAACAGTTGCTCTCTGATTACTTTTCTTTTGCTCGATGAGTCTTTGGAGAGCAGACATGTTTGGCTCAGACAGTGGATCTTTGTTTTTCTTCTGCTCATCACTGTAAATTTTTCTGTCATAGACTTTGGTTGATTGTTTTATTGGGATCCTTTTTTGGGTTGTCTTAGCAATAGAAATAAAACCTCAGAACTCTGGGTAATTTTTCAATACAGGTATGTTCAATCCTTTGATAATGAAGAGCTCTATCATTTAGCAGATTCAGGTAATCATAGACCTATTTCTAGCAAACCCCGCTTGTAAATTGTCTACAATCCTAAGGACCTGCAAGGCAGTGTAAGAGCATACATTTTCTGAAGGGAGGATGAGTCCCTCTTTAGCAGTCCCTGCAGCTTTCAGGAGGCCTGGGTGGGTGAAGGAAATAGCACACCCCACTCTAAATTGTTGAAAACCAGTCTGGTGGTTCTTATAGTCTCTGGTTCTGTGACTCTTCTTAATCTTTGGCAGGTTCTCAGCCAGTTGAGAATCACTGCTTTAGGGACCCAGTACTGGTTATGTAAGTATGCAGCAGGCAAAAGTTGGGAATCACTGATTATCACTGATAATCAGTTATCAAGGAAGCTGTTACCAGCCCAGCAGGGGCAGGGTCATGCATGTGATCACCTGGGGGTGGGTCTTAGGTGCTGCTGTCCCTTTGAGGGAGTTGATTTCAAGAGTAAAATCTGTTTTGGTGGATATTCTGAATACCAAAAGTTAAAAATGAACTTAAACTATCAGTGGAAACAGTAGTCTACATTTTAAAAACTCAGAGTTGTCCAGGCACGTAGAAAAGTTAACTCTCTAAAGGGAAATAGAATGTGGTTAGGTAATTTAAAGAATATGCTTAGCGTTACAAATATTGGGTGATTAGTTATTTACCATTTATAGTAAACTCTTAAATGTACTTCTGGGAACATTCCAGGGCAGCATATTCTGGGTGGTTGTTTATGTGTTCTAGTGTAGACAAATTATATTTGCCTTGGGAAAAATTCTAACTGATCAAAATTATATTTAAATTTTAAAATTTTAAATAATCACATTGAAGTTCAATTTATGTTAGCTATATTAAATATCTTAGTCACTGTTGTTCTCATAACATTTGTTTGTGACAACATATTTTGAGGTCTAAGAAAGATAGTATATTAACAGTGTGCTAATGTTTTGTTAGAAACTAAATGTTAACAGAAAGTTTTGTGTGTGTATGTGAAGGGAGAAACTTCCTTTTGTATTGTATTAACTTTTTTTAAATGTATTAAGTCGGTGAAACCAATGATTATTATAGCACCAACACTTTCCTTCAAAGAAGCATTTAATTCAGTGAATGAAAGGTCTTACAATTTGTTTTGCATGGTACAATGGTTCTACTAAAATGTACTTGCGTTATAGGTACTAGATGATTTAAAAACAAAAACTGTAAAACCACTTAAAAAAATCTCACAGCTTGTTATACAAAATATGCATTGCTAATAGTAGAAGCCATATATTGCCATTGTACTGTTGTAATACTTAAGAATGCTCATCTGGTGCTATCTGTAAACTATTTGGCATTAGCATCTGCTAGATCCTTCCTATTTCTTCTTGAATGTATAATGTGTGCCTTTTAAGTTACTTCTAGTGTTGAATGGTAAAATCAGTGTGGTATTTTTGTATTATAATCTGCACTTTACACTTCTTGGAAAGTAAAATTCCAGACTATCCAGTTTAAATAGTATTTTAAAAATATTTATAATGTTTACAATAAATATTTTAAATATTTTAATTCAACATCTAAAAATAAGAAAAGATTTAAAATATTTTGTATTTATTAATTGCTATTTAATGTTGCTCTCTTTTCAGTTTATTTTATATCTTTTAGAATGACTAAAAATGGAAATAGATTGTGGTATTCTTTTGATGTGGCAGTAAACTTTTAAGAAATGATGGGTATACTTGGATTGTCTTGCCAGTTTTTCCAATATATCAACCTTTATTTTTGTTTTTGTTTTTATTTTACTGAGTTAATTGTTATTCTCAGCCAACCTATTAATATTCTTTTCTTACTGTTTTTTTCTTTTTAGAGTAGATTGTTTAATTAATTGATTCAGGTCGTGAATAAATTTCCAGGGCTAAATGAAAACTATATAGAGATTTTATTAAATTGCTTTTTACAAAGACTAAATATTAAAAGTGACTAAATATTTAAAGTATTAAAATTTTTTAATTGAAAATCTTGGGTTATGCTGTTAGACCTTTTTAGTAGATCTTTATCCCCATTCCCCAACTTTTTTCTAATTCTCTAGCTTTTGGTATGGCATCTCTTGCCTCAAAAATCTTGCTTTTTAAAAACTGACAAAACTTACTGCACTATTAACAACAACTGTAGCAATGAGTTTGTTATAAGATGGATGCAAGGTATCTAATGGGAAATGATTATAAAAACATGTTCTAACAATAGTAATCTAAAACAGTATTTTATGGTCTAAATCTTGAGAACAGAACTATGCCAAGCATCTGTATAAAGCTAATGTTTAGCAGGAAGCATTCATGATGAATGATTTATCTTGAAAATAAGATTCCTTTGTCTGAGGAATTAATCTGTTGGTGTATATATATATATTTAATTTCTCATGGCAAGAAAAATAGTATTCAGTCTGCTATAATATCAATATCTATAGTCTACTTCTCTACAATCATATTTGTACATATATACATATGTTTATTACTCTAATTTAACAGATGTCTTTGGTATTTATTCCCATTTTGTCATAGCATTCTTGCTCATATGGCCTACAGTAAACAAAAAACTTCTGACTAAATGTAAAACTATAATTTATAGTCATTTTCTAGGCTTTTTATTTTATAAGTTTAGTAAGCACTGGATTAGATGCTTTAGTTTTAATTAAGCATTAAAGTTTGAGTAAAGAATTACTTTTTCACATTCTGTTTTAAGTTTCTTTTAATTAAAAGATAATATTTCCCCCACCTGATTATTAGTTTGTCTTGTTAATAACTTGCATCCATCAAGAGTATTAATATTTGGTTTTGTTCATTTCTTTTGCCCTTTATCAAGGGAAATATTTATTTAAAGAAGGTCTTGTTTACTGTACCTCATTTCGAATGACTTTTATTTCTCATGTGTTAATAAATGTATTTCTTTACATTGCTTTAAACACTTGCATCTTTGCTCTTTTCTAACTCTGAATTTTCCTCTGTGGCTGCATCTGAGGTGCTTTTTTCAGGTATAGTTTTTTTTTCTTTCCTCATATAATTTTTCAGCATTTAAATTTAGTTGGCCTTTTTTCTTCCAAAAATGTTCATCTGAACAAAAGTTTAATGTAATGAATTATAAAATAGTTACTAGTCATGAAAATGAATGTTGTCTTATTAATACTTTAATTGTATAAATTTTAAAACTGTCCTTATTTTACTTTCATGCAGGTGATGAAACTTACCAGGACATTTTTCGTGATTTTTCTCAAATGGCATCCAATAATCCAGAGAAACTAAATCGTTTCCAGCAAGATTCACAGAAATTCTGATTTTTTTTAAAAGGGGAGAATATGAAATTTGGTGACCCCTAATGTGTATACAGCTGAAAATTCGAAAATTTTTACTGCTTTCGTTCTACTTAATTTTGGTAGATATTGAGTGGTTTGGAAAGAAGGTACCCATCCATTGATATTTTTATAAATTAAAACATAGATCTCTAGTAGTTGGGAGAGGAACCTACTTTAGGACCTCTTTTATTTTAAAGAAGCCTGTTTAAAGGGCTATTTCTTATAGAGAAAAGTTGAATCTACATCTAGGCCATCTCTAGGTTACAAGATGCTAAGAGGTTAGACAAAATTTCATTTTTTGCCAGTGGTGGTAGCATTGATTTTTGTTTCATGCGTCTCACCCAGGATCATTCATTCAAGCATGTCTTCATCAAGTGGGAGCCAACTGTCCTGTCTGCCTCAAGAATGTGTCTTTTCTTTAGCTTCCCTGATGATTTTTGGTGGTTTAGAAATAGGTGTGTGCGTGCGTGTGTGCGCGCGCGCGTGTGTGTGTGTGTGTGTGTGTGTGTATGTGTGTGGTAGCTTAGCCATCGTATACATAATAAATGATTTAATTATTAGAAATTCTCATTTGCTCATAAATGCAGTCATACTCCTTAGATGACATGTTATATTGTCCAGTACTTTAACACACATATAATGCCTGTACAGGTCCATAGTTCAGTCCTTTAGATTTATTCCATCTTATGAGGCAAAAGAAGCTTTTACTTTTTCAAATCACCAGAAGAATCCCAGTTCAGAAGTTGTACTTCTTCGTTGGGTTGATTTCCTAAAATTTTGACAAATTTATTGATGTAATAAAATTGTGTTTGAAAGGTTACTTGAATGTTGCAAAATTATGCTTTCATCAAAACTTAACTTTCCAAGGAAACGTTGATTTTATAAAATAACATAGGACATTTTTATATTTGAAATTTGTCCTTTTAAAGATACATTTTTGCTATTGCTCCTAGTGAAAGAAAAATCTCTCTGTACAAAGAAACCCCCATTTTTTCTCAGTTTATACTAAAATATATAGCAATAAATTGCTTTTTATTTTTTTCTACATCTATCCTGTGGACTTATACACAGTGTACATTCTTTCAAATTATATCATGTATATAGCTTTAGTATTTGGTTACATGAATCACAGACCTTTGAATTCTAAAATATTATGGATATACTTTTTACCACTTATATGCTACAAATTAGTCTGATTCCGTCTTTGACTGACATGTCTTGACTACAGATAATTTGCCTTATGGTTCCTTTTCAGTGTTGTCAACAATTAAATTTAATCTTCTTTTAGAAATTTTATGTAAGTAATATTATTGATACTCTTTCTAAATAAAAGAGGTCTTTAAATTTATAAAAGAGGAATTATATTTAATTGGATAGATAATAAATTTTCTAACATTTCACTACCGATAACTGGAGTTTTTATAAATTCATTAAACATTATATCAGAATCCATCTAAACAGAAAATATACTGAAATAAGTTCACATCACAAAAAATGTTCCAGAGTTTGGCCTAATTGCATGCATGTAATGTTTATTTAATAATAGTCCCTATATATTATATGAGGACAAAAAATATATTTGTAAATTATTTCTGAGGAAATGCGAACTTCTAAACATTGTATTTGAATTACAACAACAGGAACATTAAATCTTTCCTGTTTCACCTCAAAGTCACAGATCATCATTAGGTACTTTATTTAAAGGCAAAAGTCTGATTTGTGATTTTTATTAGAGTGTACTTTGTTATTAATTGTCCAAAAAGGTCAAGGAAAAGAAAGATGTTAAAATTGAAAGAAAGAAAGAGGAGAAAGCCTCACTTTTCCTTGATAGTGCCTGTTCCTGTTTTAATCCTAAGACTTCACTCCTAAAGATCCTGACCTTTATGTGAGCAAGTCTAGGCAATTTTCCTTTAGGATCTGGCCATTGGTGCTTCTAATCACCTCTAGGATCTCTGTGGCTCTGAAGGCAATTCCTATAACACTCTTACCTCCTGTGGCTTGAGTCATGAATTGTTAATGTGGCAGTAATTAGTGTCTCCTTAAACTTAATGGTTAGAGATATATTTGAAATGCCCTAAAGATGATCATGGTTCTGAATATCTTCAGAGAAAGCTAAATCTTTAATATTGCAGGGAGGCTGGCAGTATAAAAATACATTTCTGTGGCTTGTTCCTTGAATGTGCCGAGACCCAATTTGAACTAAATTTGGCAGAAACGATGCAGTTTCTTGCTGTTGCAAGGTTTTAAATGAATAGTTACGAGGTAGGTTGGCTCTTAGGTGAATTTAGCTGTGTCAACTAATAGCTTTTATATAGTATATAACAAATCTGAGTTTTGTTATGCTGTGAATTATTCAGTGCATTGTGAGAAATGGTAGAATAATGTTAATCATACTCTTGGGCTTCATTAGTCAATGTGATTGCCCTTTGTTTTCTTTCCATAACTGACCTGCTATTATTAGTTTCTGATTCCTTATTACTAATCTGTTAGCTCATTATCATTAGCTCACTAACTTAAAAATTAGATTAATATCAAAATAAGAAGGGCAGCACTAACTATGAAGAGTTCATAAAATGCAGTTTCATGTTAGAACTAGAATAAAGGTAATCGAGCAGTTATTTGTAATGCTTCATTGCAACATGTTTAAGATTTCTAAGATTTCAAAAATCACCTTTAATGCAATCCTTAGAAATTCAGAAATTTCCTGGGATTCACTACATTACAGTGTTTGCCTAATTTATACTGGTTTTCACTGTAGCTTTTAATGAACTTTGGTGTTTACTTTCCCAGACATATAGGTTTAATTTGGAATATGTACTTTGGTTCTTCACGAGTGCATTTTGAAAAAATAAAAGTTATACCTTCGTAGTCTGACCATCTTAGGTTTGTGACATGTTAGCAGTATTTAAAAAATATGTTTTATGCATGTTAATTGTGATCACAATAAATGAAATTGTGTTTAAAACTAAATTTACTACCCATTTTGAATAATCAAACATTCCAAGATCACTCTTAGATTGTCAAATTAACAGTTCTGTATAATAGCACTTTGGACCATGGACATGAGCTGGAAAATGATATATTTTTATAGAATTGTATGTCCAGAATGACTTTAGAACTGCATGATATAGTGGAAAGAGCACTGGACTAGTAGTAGTCACTACCCTTTTTGCATTCAAAGCTCCTCACAAATAAAATTAGTGGAATGAAGCAAGGTGAAAGTATAGCAACATCCCTTTGTATACTGTTTTGCTACTTACAATGTACTTTGGCATTGCTTTATCTCACCTGATTCTCACAGTAGGAATTCTGAGATCTTACCCTCTGAGCTCCACTGTTGTCTGCTTTTTTGATCCTAGCGTGTTCCTCTTGTTGTACAGAGATGGTTCTCTCCGTTTGCTAGTTGGTGGCAGAGATGACACCATAACCCAGGTCTGACTACTACTCAGAGGCACTTTCCTTGTATCATGAAATGATTTGAAATCATTGTAAAGCAGCAAAATCTGATAATGACTGCCAGCTTTCCTTGTGTTTTGATGACAAAGACTCCAAATATTCTGGAGAACCTGGACATAAGGTTTGAAGGAGTAGATTGGGATTTGAAGACATCAAAATTGTAGGAAATTTGACATTTTTGCAATAAGAAACATTAATGACAGCAAAACATTATAAAGATAGTTTTAATTCACCATATATATATATCAAATTCTTGATGCTTCCAAATAGCATCTATAAATAGGGTTTTATGGATGTTGTTTTCTGTTTATATAAACTTACCCACTTAAAATGGGATCATAGGACAAAGCAAGGTTTGACTAAATAAATTCTTCTCTGCATTGGTCTTTTCACTATGTTATTTTCTAAATTTTCTTATTTTTCCTTAACCTCCCTATTTCCCGCATTTTGGATGTTAATGTTAAACAGGGAAAGCTTGCTGCATTATAAAGATTGTTGGCACCATTTATTTTACACAAAGGCTAAAAAGGTTAACTTTTGGAAATGATGAGCTACTTTTCTGTATGTGTTTACTTGTGCTTTGTGATATTTCTGGATCATTCCAGTCATAAAGACTTATTACATGTAATATTTCTTGCTACCTGTGAAAAGGTATATTTTAAAGAATGTATAACCAACAGTCCATTCACTTTTTATTAGTATGTAGAGGATTTTTATCTAACTCATGAATGTAGTTTTACTGTAGTTTGTCATTGTAAATGGAGCAAAGTACATTATCTTTGTAGTTATTCTAAAATGTACATTATGTAAGAATTGTAAATATTATACTTAAGTACTTTGTATGCTGAAAAATTGCAATAATAAGTCAATAAAAATCTCACCTCTGGCATAGTTCTTTTATGCTCAGACTTCCACTTGTGAAATACACTGCCAACCTATCTGTTAACATATTATATTTAAGGTACTATTAATATACTCCTTCCCAGCCATTTGAAATTGATCCACATTGATCCTATTTGCTGATTACTTCAATCAAGAAATCTATTTGCTCTTTTAAGTATTTTCTTCCATCTGATCACAGAGCTGTTATGGCTCCTAATACATTGGCTAAAAAACTCAAAAAGGCTTTTTTTTTTTGCCCTTGCTCTAATTTTTTTCCTTTATAATTGACATACCTGTTAAAGATCCTATGCTGCACATTCACTCTTTTAGTAAATAAACAAGAGACAAAAACATGTTTTTATTTGAATTGGGATTCAAGGGATGGAGGGTTGAGAAAACAACTGGAAATGAACTGCCTGCTTTTGGCTTTCCTTTAAAAGTTAATTGAGGCTGGGCGCGGTGGCTCACGCCTGTAATCCTAGCACTCTGGGAGGCTGAGGCGGGAGGATCATTTGAGCTCAGGAGTTTGAGACCAGCCTGAGCAAGAGCGAGAGCCCGTCTCTACTAAAAATAGAAAGAAATTGGCCAAACAACTAAAAATAGAAAAAATTAGCCGGGCATGGTGGCGCGTGCCTGTAGTCCCAGCTACCTGGGAGGCTGAGGCAGGAGGATCCCTTGAGCCCAGGAGTTTGAGGTTGCTGTGAGCTAGGCTGACGCCACTGCACTCTAGCACAGGGCAACAGAGTGAGACTGTCTCAAAAAAATAAATAAATAAAAGTTAATTGAAAGCAGACACATAAACTTTTCAATGTAACTTGCTTTAGTCAGCTTCATTTCATTTTCAGAATAGTTCTGTGAAGAAGAGAACCCACATTAATAGTCAATAGATGTTTTAAATGAAAACAAAACAGCCTACTTTATTGGAAAAACAATGTTTTATCATTGCGGAAAAATGTTTAAGGATAAATAAAAAGGAAGACAGTAATCCATAATTCCATCATCTATCTGTTTGGTCTAAACTGGAATCCATTAGCTATATGTGGCTATTTAAGTAAAATTAAGCAAAATAAAGAGTTCAGTCCCTCAGTCGTACTGCCACATTTTAAGAGCTCAGTAGCCACATGTGGCTAGTGACTATAGTTTTGAACAGGACAGATTGTAGGACATGTCCATCTTATAGGAAGTTCTGTTGGGTAGCCCCGAAGGAGAAACTTAGTTTTTTGGTACATATCCTTACAGATTTTGGGGTGTGTATGTTTATACATTTATACAACAAGATCATACTATTTGTTACCCACTTCTTTCATTTACTATAGGAGAAGATTTAAAAAAATATTTTTATTTTTGAAAATTTCAAACGTACAAAAGTAGAGAAAATAACTTCAATAGCTATAAGTTCATGGCTAACATCGTTTTATTTATACTCCCAACCAATTTTTCCCTTCCCTGGATTTTTTTGAACCAAATCCCGGACATTTCACCACCAAATCATTCAGTTTGTATCTCTAAACTCTAAAAGATAAAGACTGTTTAAAAAATTCTAATGTAACACTCCTTAAACTATAAAACTGTATAATGAGTACTCATACTTTTCCGATTGTCTCATATGTGATTTTTAGCATATTAACTGCCATGTGAGTTGTATTTAACTCACGGGAGTTTGGAGCCTGGGCCTTGTGAACCATGTGTAACTCATGTCTCTTCACCTTGGGAGCTGTGTGAACTATTTTTCAAGTTGCATATAAATTCATGCACAGAAAAACAGAAAATAATTTTTCATTACATTAGAAAGGATCATTTTGTTTTTGAAGTTTTTGCCATCATAAACCTAGCTCTGCTTTATCCTTATGGCAAATATTTTAGTGCATTCTTAATTATTTCCTTAGGATTAATTCCTAGAAGTGAAAGTACTGGTTTAATGGGTGGATATATTTTTGAGGCTCATTCAGTGTGTCAGGTGGTGGGTTAGGTACTGGGGATATTGTGGTTAAAAACAAAAAGTAGACGTGCATCCTGTTCTCTTGGAGTTCTTGCAATGGAGAAAGATGGGCCTAGGATATAGGTAGCCCTTATGGAATTGCTGAGGATAGGAGGTGTTTAGAGATCATTCATGTAGGCAGTGACATGTAAGCCAAGGTCTGAAACAGAGAGATTGGATAATGTCCAACTTTACAGATGTGGAAATTACACAACAGGAAAAACCAATTACCTATAATCTCTAGTCAGAAATCAGAGAACTTGACGAATGTTTAAGTTAGAACTGCAGGGTTATTGTACTCACCAGAGTTCTTTGTCTCCTTAGCTATGGTATGATACACCCGGATGTATCTATTTTAAGCTGAGAAAATAACACATATCACCATCTGGCACACGACATATTGTTTTTTATTTATCTGTTTTCCCCTGCTTGAATGTATATGCTATGAGGTCAAGGATTTTTGTTTTTTCACTGCTGTATCCTCAGGTGCTACTAGTATGCGTAGTATGTATACTCAATATCTATTGAATAAATGACTAACTGGCCACCTTGAACCTACTGTTTTAGTTTTTAGCCACCAATCTACTTCAGAAAGCTGCAACATTAATTTTTCTTTATAGGCAAAGAATTGGGAATGATAAGCTGCAACTTGGAGATAAGACCAGCCTCATGAGTATTTTTTGACTTCCTACGTAAAACATACATGGTCTTGTTATTTATTTCTTATCTATAAATTCCAGGAATAGTGATCTTATAAAGGTTTGAAAGATAAAACATTTGTTGAATACATTAATTCTAGAATAAATGGCAAAGAAAAAAGCCACCTTATTGATGGTGTAGGTAGGTGAATAAAAGTCACAATTCCAGAATTATTTCTCCTTTATTAATGAACAATAATTAGAATGTAATAATACAGCTATAGCATGCTGCTTGGAGATTCTGTGGAATATATAATAAAGCCTCAATAAGATTTGGAGTTTAGTGTTTATAAATACCCCAGGAAACCTATGGTTGCTAAATTATGTTTTTGTGCATATTGGATATTTAGTCTTTAAAAACAAAAAGTTTAGTGTCTCTAGCATAGTTTATTGTTTATTCAGTGCTAGGCATTGTTCTAACTGCTTGTTATCTACTGCCTCTCATAACCCTATGAGGCATAGATACTAGTATTATACTCATTTTCCAAATGGGTGTAATTGTGGTTCAGGGTAAATAAGAACCTACTTAAAGTCTAACAACTTGCTGTGGTAGAGTTGGAGTTCCAGCCTGGACGGTCCACCCCAGAGCTTAACTAGTGTTGTATGCTGAAGGTTGTGGTAAAATACACACCTTTCAAGGCTTGCATTACTACTTTTAGAGCTAATGTTGGCTAAAAGCTTGGGCTTTGGAAGCAGTAAGACTTGGGTTGAGATCCTGGCTCCATTACTTACCAGCCAACTAGGTTTGGGTAATTTTCTAAACCTCGATTTCCTCAATTGTAAAATACCTCTATCTCATAGAGTTGTGAAGATCAAATGAATTACTCAGGTGTGGTATTCTGCTATTTGTTCGTTCGTTTGTTTTTGGAAAGGGGAGTAGTTTCTGTTGAACTTGTTGCAGGTCTGTTTCAGAAGTCCGATGTTTTTCAGAAAAGTGTTGCTCCAATTGGAAAGAACAAGAGTTAAAAATGAGATGAACTGTGGTTCTAGGAAAGGTGGGCTACACCCACATTTGGAGAAATCATAGTATGGCTCATAAACCGGTGAGAGATCAATTTGTATGCGCATTTGTCCATGCATTTTTCACCTCGATCTCTTTTAAGCATGCAGACCACTTGTACATGTTTACTTCAAAACTACTGGTACACCATCAATTCTTAGAAGGTTTAGGTTAATGGGTTTTTATTTATCTAGTTGGCAGTGTTCAACTATCTAGGCTTAACACTGCCACTGGCTGTGTGACCTTGGGCAAATTAACTTAGTGTGCCTCAGTTAAGAATTTGCAGAACTCCCTGGGACATATTAAGGTTCTTGATAAAGTGTCAAAGTCTGTTTCAAAAATGAAAACGAATTAATACCACTCTCTCGGGTGTTACTACTCAGTGGCTGTCTGAATTATCATGGCGTTTTGGGCAGCGGGGTGGGAGGCGCCGCGAGTGTCATTACTACTTCAGCGTGAAAGGGCAAGCACCTTGCTAGTTTAAATTTCCTATCTCCAGCTAGTATCCAAGGTATGAAGGGAGAGGGGGAGAAAGGCTCCAGCAAATTAGGAAGAAAAGATACAGAAATAAAAGTTTTCCCTTTTCCTGCGCCCAGTTTATCTTTTTGCTAACCGAAAGTCCTGCATTGGGTCGCTTCAGTCCCTTTCAAGGCTCGGCTTCGAGATCTAGCCTCTGGGGCTGGGCACGTAGGCGCGCCAGTTCTCACAGGCTGCACAGCGGGCAGGCCTTCCGTACGCCTGGGTTCTCAGCCCGCTCCTCCCACGCTGGGCCTCTAGAGCCCACACGCGGTCCATCCGGCCCGTAATCCCTCCGAACCTAGGACCCAGCGGTTGCCGACAGCCCTGGCCCCGCCTCTCCGTGCATCAGCGCTCGCGATTGGCTCTGGGTAGCGCGGCCCCGCCTCCGCCATGGCCGCCGCCTGCTGCCAGTGCTACTAAGTGGCTGCCGGGTTACTGGTCGCCGGTGGCCCTTCCTGGCTACCAGGTCTGTCGGCTCGTGGCGCATGGGCCTGCTCCGAGGCTGGCCCCCATGCGCTCGGGCCATGGCGCGCCTGGGCGCCGTGCGCTCCCACTACTGCGCTCTGCTGCTGGCCGCGGCGCTTGCCGTCTGTGCCTTCTACTACCTAGGCTCGGGCCGGGAGACTTTCTCTAGCGCCACCAAGAGGCTGAAGGAGGCCCGCGCCGGGGTCCCCGCCGCGTCCTCGCCGCCCGCGCCGGAGGTGGCGCGAGGCTCCGTGGCGCCGGCCCCGGGCGCCAAGGCCAAGAGCCTGGAGGGCGGGGGGTCCGGGCCGGTGGACTACCACCTGCTGATGATGTTCACCAAGGCAGAGCACAATGCCGCGCTACAGGCCAAGGCCCGCGTCGCGCTGCGCTCGCTGCTGCGCCTCGCCAAGTTCGAGACGCACGAAGTGCTTAACCTTCATTTCGTGAGTGAGGAAGCCAGCCGCGAGGTGGCCAAGGTCCTGCTGCGGGAGCTCCTGCCGCCCGCCGCCGGCTTCAAGTGCAAGGTGAGCGGGGCTGCAGCTAGGGTCTCCCGGTGGGTGGCCCACTGGGCCCTAGGTGCGGTCTTGCGCGCTCCGGGCAGGGCTCCAGGGGATGAGGGGTAGGGTCTTCGCTGCGCTGCCTAATTGCAACGCCTGTGACCTGACTCCCTCCGTCCTTCCCTAAATGTGCGCTCACAGCTAGTGGGAGGCCTTGCCCGGGGGCGTGTCCGGGAGCCAGAGGCGCTTAGCTGGTGCGGGAGTGAAGCTGCGGTGTTAACTGACCTTAACGTCGCTCGCTCCCCTTCTCTCCCTGGCCTTCCCCCGCATTAAGTGCAGCCCCCAGGAGAATCAGCACGCCCCATTTGTTAGCGTTGCAGGGTTCAGCAGTGCCTTCAGAGTCTGCACCTCTTTTTATGTTCCTCAGTCTTTGACTTTTGAGGATGAGATTGATCATTTGAAGGCACCATTTGTTGCTCCCAGCAAAGTCTGCTGGACAGGGTCTTAGTGAAGCCTCTGAAAGTGTCGAAGTTGCAGTGATATTTCTCTTAGCTCTTAAAGTATTTCAGTCGGATCTGGTCAAACCTAGTATGAACTATCTCATCTTCTCTCTGTCCCCCCTTCTCCTCTGCCCTGAAGGATCATGAACCTATTTAGAGAACTCGCAGGTTACTCCAAGTGAGGAAGGGAAGCTCTAAGAGGAAAGGATATTTGAGGAGAGCACAGCTAACCACCTTGTGCCAGGCTGGACCAACCTGCCATTGTGGCAGTGCCCATTTCTCCCCACCATCTCACTTTACCGCCTGGTTCTGCCTGTCCAAGATTGGGTTCCTGACTTGGTATGAATTACTTCAGTCAAATTGCTTGCCTTATTTTGACCTAATAATTGTACAGAGGGAATCCAAGGGATTTGTGGAAAAGGAGTAGTAAGTGTTCCAAAGGATGGAGACCAGTGTTGGGTGGGGGAGGGTGCTAAGGCTGTGACTGAGTGAGTGACTAAGGGGAGCTGCTGGCAGGATCCTGCAGGATTCAGGGGTCCGCAGTGGCTCCCTGTTGCCTACAGAGTCAAGTCCTAATTTCTTGGCAGGGCTCTCTGTGTTGCGAGCCTGGCCCTGCTTTCTGGCGTCACCTCTCTTCCTTCTTCTGTGTGAACCTTATGTCTTAACTGTAGTGAATGTGCCTTTATACAAGCTGCATTTTCTGCCCAGAATGTCCTCTTAGGCCCTCGACCACTCTTTACTCAGCTTTCACCTTTCCTGAGAATGTCCCTAGACCCTGGGGACTGTCCATGCCCAACCCTCCACAGCTCTCCGTTCCTGCTTCCTCTGCAACGTCCTAGGCCATGTTCTTCCCTTTGTACCATATTTGCCCTTTAAGGAGCACTTCTTTCTTGCAAGAAAAGGTCTGGAGGGCAATTTAAATTGACTTGAGTTGTGTTAGAAACCTTAGGAAGAGGAAGGCAGCTCCTTGCCCACCCATGAACAAAGAAGCACGTCAGGAACATCACTGTGGTTAGGGAAGGGCACTGGGGCTGGACTTCGTGCTGTAGGAGGCCAAGAATCCAGGTCCAGGAGCTTGTGGGTGGAGAGGCCTTTGGGACTCACTGTCTGACTTGGGGTTTTCAGCCTGGGGCCCATCTGGATTTACCTAATTGGAATCTCTGGAGGTGGGGCCTGGCACCCTGTCCCAGGTGATCTTAAGGACCCTAATATTTGAGAAAACCCTCCCTAGTCTAGGGGAGAAAACCGAAAGCCTTTGGCCACAGGGTCAGTCTGGGCAGATCTGGGATTTAACCAGGTCTGCAGATACCACCCTGAAGACCAGCATTGTCATCTCTTCACCTTTGAGTCAGAAGTAGCATGCTGGGCTTACTCTACACCATTGCCAGGTCTCTACCCTCCTCGTGTCCCTGGCTCTAGCTGCAGCTCTTGTTGCACACCCAGTGCTTTGCAGCTTTCATGCCTTTGCTCATGGATCCTCTTTCTCCATTTCCACGTTTTGCCCATCATCAGATGCCATCCCCTCCTTGGAGCCGGGTAAGGAACCCCCAGCTGAAAGATTTGTCTTCCTTTTCTTCCCTCTTGTACTTCCCTGGGGCTGTGACTGTATCATGTCTTCTCACCCATCCCTATTTACAGTGCCTGGCACTTAGTTGGAACCATAAATAGTGGCCCAGGGGTGAGTCCAGCCTCAGCATCAGGCTCCTGTCTTGGAGTATGTTTCATGCTCAGACTCCATCCCTTTGCTGGGCCCAGTTCTCACAGCCTCACCCAAGGCCTGGAGACAGCTGCACGTGGCCTGAGGGAACTGACACCTCCCCTGCTGAGGGGTCAGATGGATGGCAGTGGTCGGGTAAGGGTTATCAGTCCTGGCATAAAATTACTCTCATTACTTTTGAGTTCATATTTTGTGAATTTGTTTTCTGTTTGTGATAAAAGGTGTTCTTTTTTTCTTTAAATGTGTGGTTCTAAAGGTTTGCTTTATTTTGTGATTTAATTCTTCCTCAGGTTTAGAGTATTCCTGAAAAGAGTGCTTCTCCCTGTACCAGCGACCACTTCACACATGCCTTTCCCTTTGCCTGGAGTGTTCCCTCCCCCCATCCTTAACTGGGACTCAGATTTCAGGTTTCAGCTTTTACGTTATTTCCTTGGTAAACCTTTCCTGAGCCCCCATTGCACACTCCAAAAGCTCGAAGTACTTTTCCTTAATAACATTTATCACAGTTGTATTTATATAATTATTGAATTAATAATTTGTCTAAAGTCTTGGTAGACTCTAAACTCCTTAAGGGAGTTTAAATGTTGTATGCCCAGCATCTAACATCATGCCTTACATACGTGAGTGAATTTTATATGGAGAATTATGTTTTCAGTATTGATTAGGAAGGAGAAAACTAGAATTTCTCACCCAGGCCACAGCCACCATTGGAGATGGTGCCTCCTCCGTGCGTCCGCATCTGGGGCTCACAGCCACCACCACTGCTGTCGCCCAGGAGTTGGCAGTATGGCTCATGGTCATGTGAGCACAGGTGACAGGCCTTGCCTCACGCTGCACCAGGCTGTTCATGAAGTATGTTGACCACCAGTGTGGGCCCCCAGAGGACAAAAGTACAAGATAATAAAATACAAAATGGTTCTTTGTATCAGAAGGATACGGTTCATGACAACGACTTTGAGCCCTACCTTTCTGGATGGTCAAATCAGAGTGACAGTTGCCCCTCAGTGAGCAATCCCTGCCCGTCCAGCTGTTACCCACTGTCCACTGGGTTTCCTTACTCCCTCACTGAGGCTCTGGGGTCCACCACGGGGACCCTCTGGTTCCATACCTCACCACCTACAGACAGCCCATAACGGAGACCATCTTTTTATGCACGATGATGTTTTAGGGCAGCCTCAGGGTCTGGGGAATAACATCTATCAGCACAGGTTTAATTTCCCCCCCAAACCCTGTGTTCTCAGCATGCGGCCCAAGTGGGTCTCAAGGGCAGCAGACTCAGAGCCCCGCATACGGGAGCAGCTACACCTACCCTCTGAGCTGCCTAGGTGGCTGGTTGCCGATGGCCAGACAGGCTTTCACAATGACACCCTCAACAAGGCCCCGGGGTAAACAGCCTGAAGCAGACATGGTTGGCCTGAAGATCAGGGATATCACCATCTCTGGAGTTGAAATGATAGGCTTTTTTGTCAGCAGCATGGCATTGACTGGGTCCTTACCAGCAATGGTGGGACAAATGTGAGTATACCAGTTTCAAAGCTGACCTCATGGGCTGCCATTGCCAACAGGCCTACAAAACCACAGCCTAAAATGAAAACAAAGAGCAGGCCTGTACAGGGGAGGCGGGGTGTGCTGCCCGCTCTACCTATAAAGCATAACATGGACATTGGCACCTGGGATAACGAGGGACCCGGGCCGAAGGCTCCAGCCCCCCAGGAGGTGCCATGCCCCCTTTCTGCCCCATAGTCCCAGCAGGTGGCTCAGGTGCTTCCAGCTCATCCTCCCCCTTTGGCCCAACCACAGTATCAGAGCCCTCAGCGGGCACCCCAAACCTGCTGAGTCGCCCCTTGCCACAGAAACACGGCATTTGGGCAGAGCGGAGGGGCCAGCAGTGATGGTAATTCTCTTGTAAATACCCACCCTAATTCTGCCCCGGTAGAATCCCACCTTGTCCTTCAAAAACTGAGTGCTGACCACAGCTACAATCCCAAAGAGTTTGATTGGAATCTTAAAAGCAGACACGTGTTCATAAAGAGCTATTCTGAGAATGACATTCACCCCTCCGTTGAGTACTCTATTTGGTGTACCGGTGTAACCTAGAACATGGCAAGAAGTGCTTGGACAGGGCCTTCTGCCCCCTGAGCAGCAAAGGGCATGTCTTTGTCCACTTGCTCTTCAGCATCAATGGGAGTGGGAGTTTCTGTGGGGTGGCTGAGATGAAGTCCCCCAGGGGGACTTCATCACCAGTCCTGGGGTCTGGTCTCAGGCCATCAAAGGGGAAGTTCGATACGAAGTGGATTTTGTCAAGGATGTGCCCCAAAACCAGCTTCGGCACATCAGATCGGAGAATAATGACAAACTGGTCACAAACTCTTGCAACACACAGGAGGTGCCCTTAGAAAAAGCAAAACAAGTGCTGAAAATTATCGTTCCTTATAAGCATGCAACCTCCATCTTCAAAGACTTTTCTTACTATGAGAAGCGCCAGGAGAAGGAGGTGGTGTGCAGAATTGAAGCAAAGAAATGGCAGAATCCAAACAATAAGAACAAACCAGTTTCTTATACATGCTAACATTTGACTTTGAAAAACAGATTTTAAAAAAATGTGTGCTTGGTCAGCTCCAGTGTGTCATCCTGTGCAGGGGTGATGTGTTGCATCTTTACCTTCTTTGTAGTTTATTTTTGCACAGATGTGTCTACATTCATTTGGGTTTTTTCTCTGTATGTTGTAATACCATAGAACTCCCTAATAAAGGAATATTTTTTTCACGGACTGACCTAATGTGAAATATAAGTATCCCTAAAAACAAACA